CTTCTTCTTCTTCGGAAGAAAGTAGGTTCTTCAGGGGGGAGGAGGGACGGCCAGCATGGCCGACATATTACTAAGTACTCTAAGTAACTTAGTATTCTCAGATTTCTTAGCTTTATTGGCCGGCCATGCTGGCCGTCCCTCCTCCCCCCTGAAGAACCTACTTTCTTCCGAAGAAGAAGAAGAAGAAGAAAGGAAACACTTAAAAGATATGAGAAAGCATGCGGCTCTTTTGTTCTGCTACCAATTCTACCAGACGAGCCAAACTTATTCTCGAACAGATGCGAGTACCATGGGGCGAGTGTTTAAGAAAGAAGCAACTTGTCAGAAATACTGCAGCCTTATTCAAATATATGAAGAGTAGAGGCAAAGTTTTAAGAACAGATTCATTCTACGATGGCCTATATACTACTACTACTACTACATTACAATGGAATGATTGTTCTAATATTCCATCAGAAATTCGAAGAAGCCAACAAGGGGAAGAAGAAATAAACAAAAAAAGAGCTCGTCTTGGAAAAACATATGATTTACAGGCCCTTATTTTGGATAAGGGTATTGCTCATCCTAGCGAAATACAGGCTAAATGTAGTCTAGAAGAAATTACTCAATTAATGGTTGACTTTCAAAGACGTCGTCGGTACTGTACTTTCATATATTCGTCAGCAAAGATTAAAAGAAGAAAAAACTTTATGCTATTATGAATTATTGCAACAAGAGAGATTGACATGTCTATCTAGACACGACTGCAGTGGCGAACCTTTTGGAATGGAGATCTGTACTTGGGTGAATGATTTATTCGAGGCAAATAATATTAATGCCTTCGAATTTTATTCCAAATTTGAACATGTAATGAACATAAAATAAATACTATCGTCTTATTTGGTCCTACGAATACTGGCAAATCTTTGACTGGCTACCGAATTTCTTATTTGTGGTACCATAAGCCGCCGAAGTGAGAATACGGTCTTTGCATATGGATAGAACTGTAGCTGTTTTGGAAGAACCAAGAATGAATGCACCTAACGTCAATGATATGAAGCAATTATTTGGAGGAGAACCATTTGAAATCAATGTCAAGTACAAACCAATGCAATATCTCAATCGGTTACCTGTTATTGTTACTACCAATGAATGTATCGGTAGTATAAAAACGCACATCGATTGCGCTGCTTTAGAAAGCCGCTATTGTCAATTCAATTTTAGCCTCGCGGACAGTGGACGGACAAATGGATGCTCCTCCTTGACTTGTCATGGGGCTAATTGTGTAGACTATATCACTAATCGTCATTATGATATGCCCCTTCTGTAGACCCTCTTTTAATTGGTTATAATCTTGAAGAACCAACCAATCCTGATAAAGAAAATCAGAAACATGCAGATTTTGATGTTTAATAAAACCATTTAAGCAAATGGCTTCTTCTAGTACGGATGTGGTGCATCATCATGATGGTCATCGAGATGGCAAAATGCCTCGGATGGAAGAAATCATTAGTGGTGATGCTACTACTGTTCTTCCTATTGAGGATTTACCTAAATTGGGGCATGGAATATACACTGCTACATTCCGAAGGAGATTCCATATTACCCTTCCCGGTTCTTGCAACGCAGGGAATAAGAAAAGCCTTCTTATTAATACGTTTGCTATAGAACCATTTGTACTTGGTTGGAGAAATAATTCTATCAATTGGAATAATTTATGGCCTACTGCGGATAATTTTGCATACATTTTATTAGATAGCATAAATATAAGGCTATCTAAATTCGTTCCATTAATGCGTACTACTCATGTTGGTGTCGCTACCAACGGTACCGTCAGTTTTGAAAGTTCGCCATATTGTATGGTTGCAAATATTGGAAAAGGTCAACATAATAAATTGGAAGTCAGTGCAATCAATTTCAAAGACGCTATTTGTTTGGAAATGCGGAGGAACATTTAGCCGCACAGTCACAATCGAGAATGAGAGAATGTCGATGTCACCTTCTTCCCACTCCGTGCGTATAAATGTCTTCAATTGTAGCAAAGTAACATGATTATCATCAAGCGTTCCTCCTCAGCCGCAAGTTGAGACGGGAGTTCATTAAAATAAACGAACGCAGCAATGAAGGAGGACATTGCCACAACAGTTGTGGAGTTTAGCAATGACCAGTCATACGTAAGAATGTCTTCTGAATTGTAGTCAGCGTATCTGCAAATCCCTTCCAATTGCCTCGCGTCCACCCTTCTCATGCCACCATTGACACAGCGGGAGGCTGTTTTGCCTAGGCCAACGACTAAGGCTTGCGTCTTAGACCAGCATTTCCAGGCAGAATCTTGTTGTAGTTGCGAAAACAAGAGTAAAGTGCACTGCGTCACTGTCTCCTCTCGCACCACTGACTTCCGCCTCTCACTTTAACCTTTCCTGTACCCCAATTGGGGAGTGGAGAGCACCTCTGCTGCCTCATCATC